AAGTGAGATTGGGAGAGGGAGGAGAGAGGAGAGCGATATTGGGAGAGGGATGAGAGAGGCGAGCGAGAGATGACAATAATTTGTATAATTCGCAGGTACGTTGTATAATTCACGTGTTTTTGTATAATTGGGTAATATAAAGTCTGGAATTATACAAATATAATAAAACTTGAAATAACGAATTGATACATACATAAACGTATGAACTTTAAACAATTATATAAAATCTATTATACAAATTACATTATATAAATTATATTATACAAAATCCAAAAACTACACATTTATACAAACTTTAAAAAGTTACATACAAAAAGATTGAATGAATATGATGACAAAACTGAAAAAACAAAGGACATCATCGTCATATACAAATACAAACAATCGTATATAAATACAAATCAAACAAAGAATGGTTAGCTGCGAATTATACATATACAAATGGCTAATTATACAAACTCAAAGTCAGCCCACATAATTAATGTATAATGTTAGTCGCGAGTGGTAATTATAGCAAACTATAACTATGATGAGTAATTAAGTAGTATAAGTTTGCTTAACCGCGTAATTTTCTTTTTTTTGAGCAACTTTCACATATAGCAAACCTAAAAATCATATTTGTATGTTTTCTATGGAGCATCAGATTGTATAACTCGCTGCCAGGAGCTTCAAATTTGTATAATTTCGCTGGCAGACCATTTGTATAAATCGCTAACAGCCTCTCGTTTGTATAAATCGTTGGCAACCTCTCAATTCAATTTTATGTGTTTGTATATCTGCATAAAATTTGAATTTGTATACAATTGGGTCGAAATAAAATATTTGTATATCAAATTTCTCTCTCTCGCTTTATACAACACAGATTATACATTGTAATTTGTATAATCTGTGTTTGTATAAAGCGAGAAAGAGAGAAAGACAAAAGAAAACTGGGCAGGAGAAGATCTGTATTTGTATAATTATAAGTGTATATGACGAAAATATATATATTCATATTTGTATATACAGTTTTCTCTCGCTTTATACAAATACAAACGCATTTCATACATTTGTGTTTGTATAAAAGCGAGAGAGGCGAGAAAGAGACTGGCGAGAGTGGCAAGCGAGAAACCTAGGGAGAGAGGCGAATTACAATTGTTTGCTACGGGTTACAATTAAATCAAACCGTGGTTATAACATTTAATTTGAATTAATAGTTTGCTATTTTATACAATTTTCCCATTATTTAATTATGATAACGTTAAATCTTTTGATATAAAATTTGTCATGAGTAAATTTTGTAGCTTTGAAATTTGACTAATCTGAATTCACGCCTCAGATCAGACCAAACTTTTACATCCCTTTTATCACATAATTGTTTATTTTGTACTTGTACCGAACTATATTAATTGGGGTTCAAGTCAGTATAGTAGGAATGACTTTTAGGAAAATGTGGGTTTGCTACCTAAAATGGACTTTCGGCCCAAAGACAAAGGAAAAAGTTTATATTTCAAAGGGGAAAAAAGATAATGGTAGGAAAAATTACATAACCAAATTAACATATAGTAATAATTAATTATGCTTCAAAACTACAATTTAATTTAATTATAAATTACAATTATAGTTGACAAAAATGGTTATAAGGTGGGTTCCTATGTTTTTACATTTGTATCAAAACGAGCAAGTCTCTTCTTTCACCTTTTATATAAATCAAAACACACTCTCTCTTATCTAACCCACTAAATTATCTCCTAAAATCTCTCATATTCTCTTAAATCAATCAACTATATTAAAATTTAAAATTTGAAAATTTCAGATTCTCTCTCCTAATGGTGCATACCCAAATAAGTTAACCTCCATCAATTATTTTTTTTGTATTTGTATATTTTTTCCTGATTTTCCCATTATTTCATATTTTTCAATCACAATTTTGAAATATTTCAGTAAAATCAATATATACATTCAAATCTGGATAAACAATCTTCTTCAAAAAGGATAACTAGAGATATACATTTGCATGCAACAAAATCTGATGATCCTCGATTTTTTTTTGAGTTTTACTCAAGATTTGGGATGCAACAAATCAGTCAAAAATGGAATTCAAAAGATGCACAGAAGCTATGGACGAACCAACAAGATGGGAAATATGTTGAGGTATTTGTAAAGAAATTGCATCTACAAGTAATGAATCAAAATCATATGTCAATCTTTTTCGACTTAAGGTATTTATATACTTATTTTTTTATGTCTGATTTGTATATGATTAAATTGGAATATAATTTATTTGTATTCCGTGGTGATTTGGCAGAACTAAGTAGTAGGTGAGTGTGAAGGCAATAAAAGACAAGTGTTTGGGCACTAGGCATTGGAGTTTTAAGCATATGGCTACACCTCATAAAATGACAAGTTTTTATACATAGACGTTCAACATATATTTAACCATGCTTATATAATTAATATAGGTATGTGGTAAATTTACATGATCATGAATATTTGGTGTAAATATTAGCAGTAGTGGTGGCTCTCGTCAAAGCCTAGCTACTAGTACAGTTGAGTAGTGAAGAAAACAATTGACGAGCATGCATGATTTTGGATGTATAAGACAAATATATCTTTATAATTGAAATAAAAAAAATATATACTAGTTGTTATTTATACAAACAATATATATACTTTGAAGAATGAATGTGGCCGGGTAGCATAAGATTGGTGCGTGCGTGTATGAATTTGAAATTCCTTTTGTCAAACACCCACCTAACTTAAATTACATATTGTGACACGTACCCTCCAATTCTATATTCTTTATATTTGCAATTATATTACTGTATATATAGAGGCCAAGAGCATGACATTTTGCTGCGATGCTTTAATTTGTGTGAGACACACTTGCATAATGCACTCGTCATATCTACTTATAATATATAAAAAGAATTACTTAATATTTTTCAGAAACTATCACTTCTTATTACGAGGGAAGACTTGGTAAGACAAAAAAAGGTCAAATGCTTTGTATATATATTATAGCAGAAGATGACTAACCCAGAACGTAAAGTAGTCAGTCGCAAGTTTTCTATAATATTAGGTTATAAATGCATTAAATGACTTTCATCTCAACCAAAATGGCTCACATTCATTGAAAAATTATGTTACATAAATATATAGAGCTAAAATAACGTTTTATATATATAAACTTTCACTTAAGAGATGTTTTCAACATCATGTCAAAAGTAGTAGTATAATTTTAAAATTAGACTATATTATTACACTTACAAATTTTCTAATCTTTTTATAAAATTTCGGACTCTGCCACAGCCCACATGTGGTAATGTTCTAGTCACACAATTAGTTTAGGACGGAAATAGGATCTTATTTTAAGAAGGTAGTGTTTATATATTATAACAGTAATGGAAAAGGCACTAATGTCAGCAAGCTGGTGACCTAAACCGGTAACTAACACTCAATCTCTACAACTTGCAACGTATTATTAAATTTATTACACAAAATTAAACGATCGACTATATATTATCATGAATTAATTAATGTGATCAACCCTAGTGTATATATACTCCTGCTACAATATATACATATATAAAAGTTTCCAAGAGAAACTAAAGTACTGGTCCTGCATCTTCAATAATCAATAATAATAATAATAATGTAAATGTGAGGGAATGCAACATGCTCCTTTTTCCTTATACTTGTCGAAATGCATGTCTCATGGCGCATGCGCGCACATAAATGGAGTACTAGCCAGTCTACCTCCTATAATATACTAGTATATGTTTTTATTTTTTTGCCATTTTTGGTTAAAAACGATAAATTAAAGGTATCCAGGAAAAGTTAGAAAGGGTACAAGTTGTTAAAAAATCTGCTTAACAGTTAATTGTTGAAGGAATAAGTAGAGGACTAGGTCTGTCAATATATAGAACAACAAAATTGGATATATATATACGGAAATCCTACCAAACTAATTAAGTGCGACCTTCAAAGTCTTTATGTGCTGAAATTATTTATTTATTTAATAATTGGTGTGTACTCATCTTGGTCTAATGGTAGGTAAGGTAACGAAGACTTATCTACTAATCAACATGAAATATAGATGACGTGTTCTTCTTTTGCATGATATCATGATATGGATTTCAAAGTATAAAGATTAATCAATGGCCATATCTGGGAAAAAACTTACCCGCACCGGTTGTTTACACCAAATTAATATTAATGCAATTTCCATTATTATGTGATTTAATGAAGTAAAACACATGTTAATTAATTAAGGTTAAGTAAAATGAACTATAGATTTAAACACATGGCATGCATGTATTGGATTAATGGTGTATACACCCGGTGCAGGTAAGTTTTACCCCATATCTGCTGTAATTTCTCCTTTTTGAGTTTTGACATATGTATGTACGCACGCTATTTAATGTCGTTGGATTTTCATTTAAATACTCACATTTATATATAAGTTACGAGAGAATTTATTTATTATTTTATAAATAAATTTTACATAAAATAACATATAAATTGCCTCATCATAACTAATCTCTAGCTCTCTCTATATATTACTAGAAAAACACCAGCTACCAAACGACCTTATTAGTATGTTCTTAATTAGTCCTACAATTATTACATTGCGTCTTTCTGCTGTCAAAATTATGTATCGAAGTTGAAACTTTTTTTTTTTTGGTAGAAAAGTATCGAAGTTGAACCGAAAGTGGGATGATATATACTTAATTGGACAATGATATATGTATAAGAGTGTCTATATAGTTTATTGTAAATTGTTTAGTGAGTATTTGTTGTGGTCCTATTTAATTAATATTCTTTAACGTATATTAAAAAGAATTAGTTTGAGTTAGAAAATAAATTGGTAGCTACTTGTCGCATAGAAAATACATGCTTGTATGTCCAAGTTATAAGTGTTAGATCGATATAGACCCCACGTCCCCAACCAAACAATATTATCATATATAATGTTGTGATCATGTGTTGTATATATATATAAGGAGAAGATCATATAAAAAAGAGAGAAATATTGATCGATCGATGGGAAAAGGGAGAGCAGCATGCTGTGATAAGAGTAAGGTGAAGAAGGGAGCATGGAGTTGTGAAGAAGATCTCCGTCTCATAACTTTCATTCAGAAGCATGGTCACCAAAATTGGCGATCCCTCCCTAAACAAGCTGGTAATTCGATCTTCATATTCTTTCATTTCAATTTATTACCTAATATAATTAAACGTGTTGGTATATTACATGCTTCAATACTAATTAATTACGTATTGTACGTGTTTGTTGATTTTTGTAGGATTACTGAGGTGCGGAAAGAGTTGTCGTTTGAGGTGGATTAATTACTTAAGACCTGATCTCAAGCGAGGAAATTTCACCCCTCAAGAAGAGGACACTATCATCAAATTGCACCAATCTTTTGGAAACAAGTAGGCTCGACTTTTAACTTTCAATATATATATATATATATATATATATATTATATCAATCAATATTACTTACTAGCTAATACATCCCTCTAATTAATTCATTTCAGATGGTCAAAAATTGCTTCTCATTTGCCTGGAAGAACAGATAACGAGATTAAAAATGTATGGAATACACATTTAAAGAAACGACGACTCATACACAGTGAAGCAAAGTTAGATGATTCATCATGTGCCTATAATTCACCTTCATCAACTTCAGTATTGTCACATGCCAATACGATAATTCATGAGAAAGAAGAAGCAAAAAGATCTTGCTCTTCCTCCTATAATGCTTCATCTAGTCTCTCCAACTTGAGCCAAGTTGAGATCATTTCAAGTCCAAATATTAATCATGTAGATATGGATTGGATATTCCAATTCAATGAGGAGCCTAATAATTATCTTGAGTTGACAAGGGTACTGCAAGATGATGGGATAATTGAAATCCCATTGGAATGTGATCATGTTGATATTTGGGACATGTTAGATATTATGGACCCTCCACTCCAAACTGGACATGAATAAAGCATCTCAGTCACTTTTTGAAAATGAATGCCAAAACTGGTTCACATACTTTGAAAATGAATTATTAGGTGTCGTGTGTCTAAGCCACACTACTACTAGTAATTGTTACCATCAACTGCACTAATTATGCAATTAAAGTCCAACCTCTTACTAAGAAATTTTGTGTCTCATACAACTGTGGCAATTGTCTGAGACACAAAATAATTGTTTGACTTTAATATAATTACTAGTATCTATTAACTAGCTAGAGATTAATACACATCGATGAGTACGCAGTTGGCAACTCTTCATGTTTTTATTTCTTTAATTCGTTATGAACTAATTGTCCCCTGAAGCATATATATAAGTTCAGAATTTTAAATTTAGGTTCAAATGTTAATACTACTATAGAAAAAATAGTGTAATTTCAATGTGCGCGTCTCCACACCAGGAAGTGGTTGAAAAATCTGTTTTGTTTTTTCCTTTATATTTTTAAAGTAAGAATTAATAATTATACACTTGTTTATATGTAAGAGTTGATTAGTTAGAACGAAACTGATATGTACAAGTACGACTTAATTTTTACATTTGACAAACTCAGCGGATGAATCTATCTTTGAGTAATTTCGTCTTTTCCTTAATTTCTCAACATAAAGAAAACTATATATAGAAATTTAGGAAAAATGCAAACACAACATCATTATGCACGCATATATCTAACACAAATTCAAGTTTCGTTGAGTGACTCTAATAGTAGTAAGAGTGACTACTAGCACGCTTTTTTTCTTTCTTCTATAGGAGTAATAATTATACTAAAAACTTGCTACATCCAAAATATATGTATACACAAGTGTACGTAAACATGATATCGTTCATTTCCATATACATAGCAAATTATAGCTAACTAAACGATGATTACAAAAAAAATGTAATATTTTTGTTTGATGATCAAACAAGCAATAGATAAAACGAAGGGATATTAACTATATTCTAGGAATGAAAATAAAAATTCCCAACATGTCAATTAATGAAATGATCATCATCCTGACACTTAAATTGATCAATTAAGCCTACGTATAACCCAATTACTTCAATATGGATTGAACATTGACCTTGGTCACAAAGATATATATATCCTCAGAGAGTTGCATACAAGCCTAAGCTAAAATTAATAGTCTACTTTTTCTACATCAAAGCTAATTAGATTAAAATAATGTCAAATTCAACCTATAGTGTTGAAGCTCTAATTCATACGTTGGGGTTGACATTATTTTCATCATTCAAACAACCTGTGTTTAATTATCTTATAGTACTGTTCAATTTAAAGAGCGAAGCCAAAAGGGTCATTTTTTTCCTTCAAAAAAAAATTTAACCAAAAGGGCAAATTCGCTCTTGACGGAGCAGTTTTCTTCTGACAAAAATTGACTCCGTTCCGTTAAAAGAAATAAAATCGCTGCCTTATTTCTTTAAATCATTATTTCTTTAAAAATAAAGAAAAAAAAACTATTTTAAAAAAAATCGCAGCGATTTTCTCAAAAAATAATAATCATTATTTCTTTAAAATTGCTGCTATAGCAGCGTTTTTATAAAAAAAAAAACTATTTTTGTTAAGGAATTAAAAAAAAAACATAAAGAACAAGTTTTAAATTACATAAATTTTCGGCAGCAGCCATTTAAAAAAAACAAGTTTTTTAAAGAAAAAATCGCTGCCGAGGCAGCGGTTTTCAGTTTTAGTTTTTTTTTTAATTTTCATTTAAATCGCTGAAATGGTAAAGATTAAAAAAAAAAACTTTTTATGAAAATCGCTGGCTTCGGTTTTAATTTTTATTAAATTCTCTTCAAGGGTAGGATTTTTATTTCTTTTAGCGGGGCGTCTATTTTTGTCAGAACAAAATTGCTCCGTTAGGAGCGATTTTGCCCTTTTGGTTAATTTTTTTTGATGTGCTGTTTTTGTTTTTTAAAGTAAAAAAGTTGTCCTTTTGGCTCCGGACTCAACAAAAATGTGCCATTGCCCATTAGTGCCCATATAAAAACATTATTTCGCTTGAAAAACCGGAGGAAGCCACACATTTTCTTGAAGAATCGGAGGAGCTCATATTTGGATTTGCCGCCTAATCCCACAGAACTAGGGTAGAAATTTTTGGGCTATGTAATTTTTTTTTACTAGGTAATATGGGTTGTCTAAACTTTAAAAAAAAAATGATAATAATAAAAAAGAAATAATGTGACATGACACCCTATTAAGAGAGAAATAATATTTTTTTGTATCAAGTATATTTTGAGGAAAAAAGGTAAAGTTGGATGATATTGTGGTCCTAAAACAAACATAAGTGATATTCTTAGGTAATTTCCCAAACATGGGTGACTATCTAGGGAAATTACTGGTTGAATTTTTTTTAAAAAAGAGTTGGAGTATAATAGGAGTGAGTATATATATATATAAGGTAAAAAAAAATATGTGACCAAAGTGAAAGGGGAAAAAGATGGGGGGACGAATTTGCGAATAGGTGGTGTGAAGTGAAGTTTATAGCTGCGGGGGGAGAAGAAATTGTATGAGCGATGGCGTCGGGGATATTATCAAGGTCTCTCTCTCTTCTCAAGTCTTCCACTTTCTTACTCTCCACAAAGCCCCAATACTTTTCTACTGTAAGTTCCCCTCCTTCTTTCGTTGTCAATTTGTCTTTCTCGTTTTTGTTTAGTAAATATGCGGCGATTTTGATTTTTACCAGTGTCTTTTCTGTATTCAGTACCGGCGATTGTGTTCTACATCTTTTTCATGGTTGTTGATCCTTTGTTTGCGCAAAATTACAACTTTACTCTACTTGGTCAATAAATTAACTCTTGATTGAAGAAATTCATTACAGAAAAAATTGTATTATCACCTGGCTTTGCCTGTAGATTGTTAATTTCTTCCATTCATTTTCCATTGAAAGTTGACGACAATGTTTCTCATTTGCTTAATCCTCTTATCAGAAGAAAACATTCTACTCCCAAGCTGCACCAACCTATTTCTCTTATAAGCTGGTGGGTTCTGTTACATGTCGCATGGATTCATCAAGGGTGGGAACACGGGCAACATTCTCAACACAAGCTGTCTCCTCCAATGAATCTGTTGTTTCAGTTGACTGGCTCCACGCAAACCTCAAACTGCCTGATATAAAGGTGTGTGATTGAACGTTTTACTTGTTGGTCCTGCTTCCAGGGATTCAAACTTATTTAAGGCGGCGATGCTATTCAATCTAGTCAATTAAGGCAAAGCATTTCTCTTTTACTTCTTTTCCTATGCTTAGAGAACTTAGATTTTTCGTTTTCGTTTTCATTAAGGTACTGGATGCATCTTGGTACATGCCAAACGAGCAGAGAAACCCTCTTCAAGAGTATCAGGTGCTCACCCTGATTGATACCTATATAAATAAAACTACTTTATTCTCACTTGATGAAAAAACTAAATGGAACTACCTTTTTCTTCATTCAAATGCCTGCATTGCTTTTGTTGATTATATTCGTAGATGGAAAAATTTCATCCTCTACTAGACCCCTATGTGGTTTATAACTTTATTTGCTCAACTCTCTATCCTTCTATTTGAACAGGTTGCACATATTCCTGGAGCACTCTTCTTTGATGTAGATGGTATATCTGATCGTACTACAAATGTAAGACTTGTTCAAATTTATTTCTTCTTTTAAGAATAATTTGCTTCATAATGTAATCTTTCACATCATGTAACATCTAGTCTGGCGTCAGTGTCTCTACCACGCCTCCGTCCTTTTTTCATTTGAACTCATCTGGTTCTACAGTATCTATACCGTAAGAGATGTTTCACCTAACCACACAACATGCTTTTGAGATTGATCACAACATCTTTTTGTCGTATAAAAGGCTTTATTTCTCTGTTTATGTTATCAGTTGCCTCATATGCTGCCATCTGAAGAAGCATTTGCTGCTGCTGTATCTGCTCTTGGAATTGAGAACAAAGATGGGGTTGTTGTCTATGATGGGAAGGGCATCTTTAGTGCAGCTCGTGTATGGTGGTGAGTTGACTGATTACTGCAAAAGGCAGATATGCTCATTTTGTACGAAATGACTAACAAATTACAAAATGGATAATCAGGATGTTTAGAGTTTTTGGACATGACAGAGTTTGGGTTCTAGATGGTGGCTTGCCAAGATGGCGTGCTTCTGGATATGATGTCGAATCCAGTGCATCTGGTGACGCAATTTTGAAAGCTAGCGCTGCCAGTGAAGCAATAGAGAAAGTATATCAACGACAGGCGGTAAGTAAATGCTTATTTCCTGTGAGCTTCACTTAATTGTATATCTTAAAAACAGAAAATTGCTACAACAAAGTATCTTTCTATAACCTTGATAGCATGGCAGTGTTAAAGCAATAGGACTTGAATTTAGTGGTGGCAAGATCTTTGTGCAAAAATGCCCCCCGGGGTTTTTGGTCCATTGGTACGAGCACAGAGCGTCATTTGTGAGTGAGTCGCACGTCACTGAGTTCAAATTATAGTCCACAACCCTCAGGGATTTCTCGGTTTAAAAAAAAGGTCTCTGTAAGAACTTTAATGAGATAACTGTTTTCTTAAATATGGTTCTATCGTGATAAGGAGAAATCCAATTGGACAGGTCATGGTTTTTTTTTGAAAAATAAAAGAGAAGTTGCTGCCTTTACATAAGAACAAATAAAGTTGAAAATGCTGAGGCATTTATCCCCTTGTTAAGTGGGATCACCGGAAACTTTATGAAGGATTTGTTACCAAATGTAGATACGATGAGACAAAAGTCTCAACACAGGATTAAAGGCGGCCACTGATTCTCTGTTGTTTATGTGGTAGAAGTTCAATAAATCCTTTTTCTTTCATGTTTGTGGCGCACAGTGCCAAAAGGAGTTTCAAGGAGCTTAAGGTTTAATTATGAGGTGAAGCACTAAAACAAGTAATCATCAATTTGACAGTGTCCTCTTTCTTTTATCCTTTATTCTTTTGTTTTTCTTTTTTTTGATGACAAGGGAAACCCGCAGCCGCTACCCTTTGGGTGCGCACAGGGTAAAACCCCCGTTCCTATGCAATAGCTCGCAAACCACATAGGAGAGGCAACCCGCACTAGGCATGCCCGATGCGACGAGCTCAACCCAGAAGGCAAACCCCTTGCTTTCGTTGGCAAGGGGTTTCGAACTTGAGACCTCCAACATGGAAGTCCCAAGCCCAAACCACTGGGCCACCTCGAAGGGTTTATGATGATTGAGAGTTTCCCCCAACATGAATGCTTTATTGTTT